GAGATGACAAAATGTTCTAAAATTCACTGTGGTACTGGCTGTATAACTTTGTAATTATACTAAAAGCTGTTGATTTATACACTTTAAATGGGTGGGTTGTATGGCATGTAAATTATATCTCAGGAAAGCCTTTAGGAAGAAGAATGCGTAAGAGTTTAAGATTAATTTATATTCAATATGAAACTTTCTTTTCCCCCCACCATTGACTTGGATACCTTTTTCTTGAGGGTTTAGAGTTATGATAAAGTTTTTCCATTCAGAGCATGTGAATTTAAAGAATTACATACTTGATCATATGAGACTATCAAATGTGTAGAAGAAAAGGGTAGCCAGTGAATAGAGCATGTTTTATTGCAGTGTTTACACAGTCTTCACAAGGGAAAGACAGAAAGTGAGAGACAGCCTTCTAAAGATAAAATCCAGTGACCAAATGAAAATGAAAACCTCCAGTTATTCTCAGGCATGTGAGCGAATTATACCAGACTTGACTTGGAGAACTGTGCCCGGTGGTGAGAGAGGAAGGATTCGCAGGACCGTCCCCACAGCACAGTTCTGCAGGAAATCCGAGGACGAGGCATCTTTCAGCCCTGCCTGCGCCCTGTGAACTGACTGACTCTAGCCCCGAGCTCAGCACACCTCCCCGCCTGAAGCCGTGCCCCTCAAACGCCATCCGCCTCAGCTCTGGTCTCAAGAGAAGGAGGCTCCTGTCCCTGCTCGCCTCAGGTGAAGGCAGGTAACGAACAGTCTTAGGACCAGTCAGGGTAGATTTGTACACGTGGCCATAAAAGCGTAAACGAAGGACTCTGACTGCATTAGCCCTAAGGCTGCTCTTGATGGTGTTTTTCACGTTTCGTTCGGCAAAATTGAAAACATAAAGACAAGTTTGGCGGTTTTGCCAGCTGGCTCAGGCACTGGGTTGTGATGAGAGGGTATTTGTCTCCACACGGAAATCTATATGGACAGTCCCGTCACGATGCCCAGCACACTCTGGGGCCGGGCAGGGCGGCCGAGGCGGGGGGCAGGGGGAGGCCGGCTGCTCGGTCCCGCTCCACGTTAACGAGCTCAGACGGCGAGCCATTTCCACTCCGGTTTCTGGGGTCTGATCTGTAAAGTGAGTGGTTTGGAATCATCTCCTCAGTCGCGTTCAGCTGCCATGCTCTTCAATTAGGAGATTTATTTACACGTAGAGGGGCCCCCTGGGGGCTCTGTTTCTTCCCAGGGCCGCCTCCTCGTGGCCTCCCAAACTTGCCCCACCTGTACGATGCTGTGGCTTACCTTGTCCATTTGTGACAGAACAAAGCACACTGCTGAGTGTCCATATTCTGTTCCATTAGGTAGCGGGCTGCTCGGAGGCCGCTCCGTGGCTATTTTCGTACATACCCTGACCCCCTTGCCTCAGCTCGTTTTTCTCATCCTTGCCCTGCCTACATCTGGAATCGATGAAGCGTCATCTTCCTGCTGCTCTGAGAACTGTTGTCATCCTCTCGCCAGTCTCGGCCCAGATGTCCGGAGCCGTTATTGCGCCCGCGGAGAGGATGGCTGTGCTGGCTTCGGAGCGGCCTTTTCCGGGGAACCTTCGAACGGCTTTCTGAGGTCTGCACTCCCAGCAGCCCCGGAGCGCTGCGCTGGGTCTCAGAGGGATAAAAAGCCTGAAGTAGAGATCTAATTTAGCCCACCCTCGCCCCTGGGCTTCTTCCATCACTTTTCCAACCCAGAAACTGAGGCTCAGGGAGACCTGACACATCCCAGGGGAGACGGGCCGGGAAGCACGTCCTGGGGGCCGGCCGCGCCCTGCCCGTACCCAGCAACAAGCCAGCGCTCTGCCTCTCTCCAGAGGCTACAAAAGTCTGTGATTACGATGTTTCGTAATGGCAAACGTTTAGTCTTGTCTTTGTAAACTGCCCTCTTTGGTTCCCTCAGAGGGAAGCTGTAGGCAGGCGCCGTAGGCATATAACGTGATGGACTCCGCTGGACTCCAGTTTCGTTGCCTTCAAGTAGGAAAAGGCACCTGGCGCTTTCTGTCTCCCAGGAATGTGCACATAAGTAGGAAGTAATGAGTTGCATTCTTCCAGGCCATAGAATCATCCCAGGGACCATGCATTTTGTGTGCAACTGTGCTTACGCTTCTGGTTTTCTGCTGGTGTGAGGCTTTCAGTAAGTTTGATTCATATATCTTGTTATTCAGAGTGATTGTAAAATGTGCATTCTAAATTTAACAAAATATCTGTTCCTGACACTACAGATTATTTGACAGCTAAAAAGCCTTAAAACCATTGCTCCACACACTGGAAGTAGATATCGTGGGATGGAACTAATGTGATTATTGAAAAGTTGACTTGAAACAAAAATCAAGATTAGCATTTATAAGTTGTTAATAACCCAAGATTAAGATATGGCCTATATCTATATGGAAAACCTATCATGAATAATTATCAATGTCTTTGAAACTGAAAGGGAAGGCAAAGATTTGGAAGGAGGTAGCATGTAAGCTGAGGAATTAAGACATTATGTTAGCATGCATTCTAGCCCTTTTTAAATCCATGCATTGCCTTCAGCATAATCAGTATTATGAGACATTTCTTCAGTGGATTAATACAATGAATTATTCTTCACTTTAAAGTTTCTCATTTTAATGAAACCAGGGTTGGACAAGATAGAATAGGAAGGGCGTTTATTCCGGGAAGTCTGTAATTACAGCACACTTACTGCGGAGACTGCACACGCTGCACCAGATGAAACACACGCAGACACAGTTCAGGCTCTGTTCTCACATGTGGTCTGAAGACACGGTCTATTGGCATCATCTGCTGCTTCAGAGGCCCCACCCATAGCTGTGGGACCAGACTCTGCACTTTAACGTGACCCACAGGTGATTTGGTTACTCAGTAAAGTTTGAGAAGCACTGATTGTGCAGCTTTCAATTTTATTCTGTCCCATTGGCCCGTGACAGAACATTATACCTTCATATCTAATGTGCCTAACAAAGCAGCCTATGCAGCGGATGCTGCAGTAATTCTGTCCTTTGCTGAATCCAGTTATCCCTTACTATTATATTTCCCACCCTCCCCATAAGTTATTTTACAGTTACTATCAATTGTATAAAATGTATAACCTGTTTGCTTGACTGTCATAAAGATGATTGTTCCTGCTTTGATTTTATGCCTGAAAGTAATTTGTAATCTTATGATTCCTAGTGTTCTTGTTTTATCTGGAATACCTTTTGCAAATTAATGTTTGGGAGGAAAAAGTAAGGCTATTAGCCAAGAGCAATGATTGCTTGTTTCTAGTGTTAACGGAGCATTCACTTTGAATCTTAATCAGAGAAATTAAAATAAGGGAGATTTATTTATTTATTTATTTATTTATTTATTTAGAAAAAGCAGTGTAATTGATAATTAAACTTCTGTTAATTCAGCCATTTTCATCCTGAAAATTATTTTCACCATCCTGTCTGTTTAATGAATTTCGGTTATCTTAAGAACAATTTAATTCTGCCACATCCTGCTATTTAAAGTCATTGGTAGTTACACTGATTCTTTGTTTCTTCTCTCCAGTTTTCTAATAAGCTAAAGAAAGCAAACCCAGTGAAATTTGCAGTATTGGCTCTGCACTTTATAGCTGTGCCTGCCTGCATTGATCCCGCGGTGCTGTCTCAGGGAGCAGTTAGTACCAGGCAGAACCAGGGCCCATCCTTGAGAAGGAGGGCGAGCTCATGGCCAGCGTCCCTCGGCTCACAGAGGACCCGCTTGCACAGCGGTGCCACTGCAGTATAATCACATCTCACATGACTGGATACCGTTGGGTTCCATCTAGAAAGGAAGGACAGGCGAAACAGACAGAATATGCTAGACGGAAAGGAAACTCTTTCATTGAAAACCCATGATGCGGTGATATTGCTGCCTCTCTAAAGATACCTGTGTCCCCTTATGTAGATAGTGTTTGGTTACTGGAGCTTTTGAACGCCCACATTTAGAGAGGAAGCGGAAGAGAGGAGTCTTTGCCTTTGAATCCCTCAAACGCAACCCAGTGGGGCCAGGCAGGGAAGGAGAGTCAGTTCTGAAGCGCACCATCAGCAGAGAAGACCAGACTCCTCAGATGCCAGGGCCTTGCTCATCCCAGGAGTCTGGGCCGCCAGTGTCAGAGGTTGGGGAGGGCCTGGAGTCTCTAAGAAAACAGGAGACTCAACCAAGGGAGTGACATGGGAGGAAAGGGTAGACTTACTAGCTAGAGTGTCAACAGCCTGAGCCAGCTACTAGGATGCAATGGAACTGGAAGAAACCCTGCTCAGAGCCCCTCCTTGTCTACTCTTCAGAACATAGTCATTCCCAAGCGTGGCAAGGGGTGGGACGTGGGCCAAAGCATAGTCTCCTGAGGCCTATTTGAGAATACTGGGCAGGCAGCGGAGGACACTAATGGAGTCGTTGACTAGTTAAGCACTTGGGTTCTGAGCCAGCCGCGCCAGAGATGGAATTCTAGCTCTCCCCTGATTAGCTCTGTGACCTCTGCCAAGTTGTTAAACCTTTCTGATCTCCATCTCCTCATCTATAAAATGATGGTGATATTAATAGAAACCCTTTCATGGGGATGAGATCAGAATTGGGAGAAGTACTCTGTGCTTAATGCTTGGCAGAATCCGTCATTAAGGAAACGCTCAGTGATGTCAAATTTTCTTTCATTACTGGGACCTAATTTTATTCAGAAGAAAAATTTGGGCTTTTGCCCAACTCAGAAAATTGCAAGGTAAGCAAAGTAACTTTGATTGAAATTCTAGACATCAGCCTATTTTAAGGACATTAGGATTCTAATGCAGACCCACCCTGTTTTCATTCCATTTGAAAGACTAGCATTTTAATTTATGATGCACATAAAATGTTGTCATCCTACTTACCCGTTTCTTCCAAACACAAATGAAACTTTGTGATGACAGCAGGTTGTTTGGAGATCAGAAAGCCATGTTTTTAACGGGTTCTCTTTTCTCCTCCCACTCCCCCATCGGGAAGAACTCCTTGACCAGAAGCGCACCGCTTCCCAACGATTCCCAGGCCCGCAGCGGGGCCCGGTTCCACACATCCTACGACAAGAGATACATCATCAAGACCATCACGAGTGAAGATGTGGCTGAAATGCACAACATTCTGAAAAAATACCACCAGGTAATTTTCCTTTATATTTGAAACTCTGACAAGGTTAACATTCATGACCTCTGGTCATCAAGGCCAAAGACTTAAATATTAAATATGTCGTCAGGAAGTGACGAGAACACATTTGGCATCAAAACTGCCTTTAGCTGGGCTTTTTATTTATATTATTTATTTTGCTCTTTAAGAAGTGTTTTTATTTTTATTTTTTTTATTTTTAATTTTAAAATATATTTTATTGATTTTTTTACAGAGAGGAAGAGAGAGGCATAGAGAGTTAGAAACATCGATGAGAGAGAATCATTGATCAGCTGCCTCCTCCACACCCCCTACTGGGGATGTGCCCGCAACCAAGGTGCATGCCCTTAACCGGAATCGAACCTGGGACTTTTCAGTCTGCAGGCCGACGCTCTATCCACTGAGCCAAACCGGTTTTGGCTAAAAAGTATTTTTATTGATTTTCAGTGAGGAAAGGAGAGGGAGAGATAGAAACAACCAATGATCAGAGAGAATCATTGATCGGCTGCCTCCTGCATGCCCCCTACTGGGAACTGAGCCTGCAACCTTGGTATGTGCCCTGACCAGGACTCAAACCGTGACTTCCTGGTTCATAGGTTGACACCTCGCAGGTCAGGCTAGCTGGGCTTTTTAAAAAATACTGTGGCCAGATTACTCAGTTAACATTCAGGAATGCTTATCCTCTGAAGATGATTAGTTATTAATAAAATGCTTTTAATCTAAATACTCTTCTGTTATAGTAGTTTCGATGCTTGCCAACCTGATTTTAAAATCGCTCAGCTTAAGATTTGGCAGCATTTCAAAAGTTTTTTGCACAGGTCAGAAATTAGGTGTTGACCTGTGAGTATTTATCCATTTACACCTCCAAATCCTATCCTGCTTACCTGGTTCCCAAAAGGCCCACCTCCACTCAACACCCTGGACAGTTCTTTCATTTTCACCCTTCAGCATTACTCCTTCATAATCACCTGGGGAAAGAACGAAATTACTCTTGGGAGCAGCAGTCCTTCCCTCCCTCCCTTCTGTTCCCTCCCTTCTGTTCCCTCCCACTCAAAATGAACAAATTGCACTGCAAGTTGCCTGGTGGAGCGCATGCTCCCAGACCTAGTGGAGCTGTGAGGTGCCTTACTGACTCTGTAGTAAGAGCATGAAGTCCAGTGTCAGACAAACCCAGGTTCAAATCCCAGCTCTGCCACGTACTAACCATATGACTTCTGGTCTTTGCAGCCTCTGTGTTTCCATTTATACAGTGGAGATAATAACAACAACGAAAATGAGTCCTAAAGATTAAACGGGGCGGGGGGGGGGGGGGTGTACCTCAGGTACTTAGCACAGCGTCTGCCATGCTCAAGGTGCTCAGTACAGGGTGATGGTAGTTGTTACCGAGTCGTACGACAATAACCAATAACAACTATGTCATCTCTAGAAACTGCAGTCTGATGGCATGACAGTGACTGTCGCTTGCCACATGGCAGCTATCATCTTCAGAACTGGTGTTTGAACACACGCTCGCACATGCTTGTAGAGTCCTGCTTCGGTTCCTTCGGTTCCTTTCTACCTAAACAGCTTCAGCCCCCCTCAAAGATCAAGTCTGGTTATCACAGGGGGTATTGAAAATAAAGTGCTATGGGCTCTGATTGTGTAAACCAGTGATTTTTTTTAATCTTCTTCACCTCATGGTATGCATAAACTAATTACTAAAACTGCAGCACACCCAAAAATGTATTTTTTGCCATTCTGACAAAAAATAGGCCTCCTTTTGATCCATTCACACTAGATGGCTACTGCTCTGTTGGCTGTTGTCATTTATTTATTTTTTTTAATTTATTGTAACAATCTAAGAAGAGGTCCCTGCTCCTGACTGAACAGTCAGGTACTGCATGTTTTAAGAAGTCTTATGGCACAGCAGTTGAAAATTGCTGCTCTGACATCATGAGTGTTTCTTGGCAGTTGCTTATTCTTCCAATCTTTGCAAATGTGATCAATTGTATTCTGCTTGCAGTAAAGTCTATGGATATCCTTGAGCTATGTGTTGTTTCCGGAAACTTAGAGCCACCCCTCATTTGTCTTCTAAAAACATTAGTCAGCCTCTAAATTCATTTAACATGTAACAAATCATTTATAACATCTGCTCCTTTTGAAACTTGTTCGATGGCGCTCATGCTGTTGCCTATTGTGAAGGAAGTTCCAAAGCGCCAGGATGGTAGCTGTGAGGGAGAAAACACCAGGGAACGAACTGGCTTCTGAATGAGTTAGATTACAGGAGGCAGCTTTTAATTAGTGACCTTTCAAACTGTCCGGTGTTTCATTTCTCTTCTTCTGAAGCATAGTGCATTATTTTTACACCTTTTAAAAATGTCTCAGAACTTTCAAATCAAAGAAATACCTCAATGGCTGATGAAAACATATTCTGATCAATGTCTGAATCCATTCTAATAAAATGACACATAGTTCAAACAGCAGCTTCTTGATGACAGCTTTGAATCAGAATTTCTTGACTTTACAGACATCACAATCTGAAACATTTTCTCTGGGGTGAGCTGACATGCAGGTTTGACATATCGTGTTACTTGAAGTACATTGGGGATCAAAAAAGGTGTTAATGTGCTCCAGGGGCTTTCAAGTCCTGAGAGTTTCTTTCATTTCCGCTGTGACAAAATAGTTATTTTCTTGATGTGTTCTTTAACCAGAATAGTCTGACTTATCTAACATTCACATTTTTCTTTCTTTTCATAAATGTTATTTTAAATATAACTTAAAGGGTCTTAGTGATTGAAAAATCCCGAACGTGAATATAATTTATAGTAAGTTGAAGAACTGGTTACTTAAGCCATCTCTGAACCTCAGTTTGCCCATCTACATTTCATTCATTCATTCGTTTGTTATGTATTTACTCTCAAACCAATTCCAGATAGGATATAAGGTGCCCTTCAAGAACTTCGAAATATAAGAAATAGTAAATAGGGAGGGGGGGGGGGAGGTAGAAAAGGGAAGGAGAGGTTGAAGACACAGAATGGAGTCTGGAGTGGGCCTCAAACTCACGCCACAAGACCAGCCTGTTTCCTACACTGAGGGCCACTCGTTTGACCCTCATTTCCTAGAAGCCAGAGTGGAAAGTGAAACCTGCGTAAATCAGTCACACAGCTGCTGCGCCTGAGATACAGAAGAATCCGGTGTTAAGGATACATATACCTGTTCTTGGTACTGAGGTCAGACAGGGTTACTTCCCAGACATTCCCCACAGAAAGGACAGGTGACATGACAGACATCATCCTTGCAGCCAGCCATGCCACCCACAGGAAAGTCATGGAGCTTTGGAAAAAGCCACCAGTGTAGGCTGCTGGACCAGCGTAGAGCTTACATCTAGTCAGCGCAGTTGTGCAGAGGAAGGATGCAGCGCTCCCGGGCCCCCAGCACTCTGCCAGCCCGGCCCAGGCAGGATTTGATGTTCTCCAGGCTGCCCTGCGCCCAGGCCACTCTCAGACAAGGTGTTGATGAATACTGCATGGGGCGAACTCAGCCTGGTGCGTTCTCCGGAGGAGCCGTTCCGTACGGTCGGACACGGGCCTCGCCATCTGTCATCCAGGAGAGGTCCTTCAGCGCTTTGTTCCCTATTCTATTCGGTGGTGCTCGGAGACACTGGAGATGGGGATTAGACCGTTTCTTGCCACTTTAAGTCGGCCTAGACTACTTTTAGGACTTATATTGAGTCACAGAAATTCTCTGTCTCTTGCTTGAGCGGTAACTGTCAATACTTCTATTTCTTCTTGGTTCTTTGTTTGCTTTTACCTTCTAATTTGCTGTGCTTCTGAATCGAGCTGGACAGGCAATGGGGTGTGTTCAAAGTGCATGTCAGGAGAGGGGATCGGCTTCCAGCAAGGGTATATCCTATGGGGCATACTGAAAAACTCTGGACACTTGATGGCCCTTCACTTCTCTCTCTCTCTCTCTCTCTCTCTCTCTCTCTCTCTCTCTCTCTCTCTCTCTCTCTCTTTTTTTTTTTTTTTAATGAAAGATACCCAGAGTTGCAGCTGTATTCTGGGTGATTAAAACTATTATTATAAGGCCAGCTTCTGGAGGAGTGGAACATTACTAGATATTTAAATAAATTCTTCCTGGGATTAATTTTCTGACAAGCCAGTCTCCCCAGCAATGAGGAGTGGGTGGCTCAGAGCGCAGACTCTGGAGCTGGCGGCTGCCTTCACACCCAGCTTTGCCCTTAACTAGCTGCGTGACTCTCTCCACCGCCCGGCTTCTCTGTAAATTTGGATAACAATGCCTCCTTCATTTTGTGTTGTGCTGTTTAGGTGCATTGATATCTATAATCTACTCAGAACAGTGCCTGACACGTGAAGTGTTATATAAGTGACTGAATAAGAGATTTAAATACCTACTCAGTTTCCCACAGCCCAGTATCCCACGCTTTAACGCTCATTAATTCTTTCCGTCCACTAGGGGGCCTGGTTTCTGGTAGAGTGTGACACTGAGGCACAATTAGAACATTTGAACCACAAGGGGTTAGGTTTTTCCCCCCTGAGCTCCAGCATCCTGCCTTAGTCTTTATCTGCTTCCAAATTCTATCCTAATTTCTACTCTGTTCTAAGAAAGGACAGCATCGTGTCTGAAACCAATAAAAGTTTTACATAAAACAGAGCAGATTTTTATGTCTCTTTTCCTTGATTAGGTTTCCTTTTTTATAGTTGGGAAAATAACTTAATGTTCATGTGTAAATACTCATTTTTTCAAATTTCTGTCAGGCTAGAACAAACTCAGGTCTCATAAACGGTGATTTTTTTTTTTCTTTCAACTGATGAGGTAAGCAATGTCAAAAGAGTATTAAAAAAGGAAAAATCAGTCAAGAACCTACTTGGATGTCTGATTTCTTCTAAACTGAGTGACTTTCCACTCCCCCTCCCCCTGAGCTGAATTCATTGGGAGTTTTGGTGTCATGTATTGTAGTTTTTACTTTTATTAAAATTAAGAATCAATGTCAATAA